TGGGGTGCAGGCTGCGGCTTTACCCATCATGCCACAGTGCTGGCTTCTCCTACTGCTATGTAAATGAAGCCTCCTCTAGGCCTTCCCACAGAACATAGTCATCCTGGGTTCCAATTTAGGAGTAGAGGTAGGGGTGGGTGTTTGGTGCAGTGGTTAAGTAACTGCTTGGAATGCTCACATCCCATATTGGAATGTCTGGGTTTGAGTCCTCACTCTGTTTCTGCAAATGTGCACCCTGGGAGGCAGCAGGTGATGGCTCAATTGCTTGGGACCTTGCCACCACGTGGAGATCGGGATTGAGTTTCTGAATCTTAGCTTTGGCCTGGCCTAGCCCTGGCTGTTGTGGGCATTTGGAGAGTGAATTGGCAAATGGAAGATCTCTCTAACAGAATAAGTAAAAACATTTGAAGGGGCTGGTGGTGTGGCACAATGGGTTAAGCTACCACTTGGAATGTGAGCATCCCATATTGGAATGCCAGTTTGAGTCCTGACTGTTCTGCTTCCAATCTAGCTTCCTGCTCATGCACTAGGAAAGGCAGCAGCAGATGTCTCAAGTGCTTGGGGCCCTACCACCCATGTGAGGGCCTGGATGGAGTTCCTGGCTCATGGCTTTGGTCTGGCCCACATTCAGTTGTTGCAACCATTTGGGAAGTAAGACAGTGGATGCAAGATCTCTCTCCCTCTCTCCCTTCTCCCTGTCTCTCTCTTGCTCACTCTTCTAAATAAATAAATGAATAAATATTTTAAAATGCTTCAAAAATTACCTAAAAAGAGTGTTTAGGTTATATATAGCTTTAACAAAAAAAAAAAACAACAAAAAAACAAAAAAACAACACAGGTATATATTGGTAGATTTACTGGTGGGAAAATGAAGTAGTTCTTTCTGATTTTTCCTATTTTCTCATTTAAACAAGGCAGTCATTTGCTGGGAAATGGGTCTTTTTTTTTCCTAATATATATTTTCTTTATTTAAAATTTTGTTTATGAGCTTCCTAACCACACAATGAATTCTATTCCAGTTACAATGTCCAAACCATTGTCTACGTCCTTATTTTAACTTCCCACACCCAGACACGCTGCACTAAGCACTGCAGGCTTGGTGCTGGCGTGCTGAGAACTCTTCTTTGTGGTCATCGTCCCTTCTTGGTGCCGCTCTCAGTAACATTTGCTGAACAATGCAGACAGAAGGGGATCTCAGAAGGGGAACTCCGCTTTGCGGCCCGTTTTTGTTTGTTTGTTTGTTTGTTTTATGAAGACACCCTATACCCTTTATTTTTTTAAAGATTAATTTTATTTATTTGAAAGAGTTACAGAGAGAAGAGGAATGTGTCTTAATAATAATGTTTATGTTATGATTTCTGTCTCCTTGGCCATAGGAGCAGGGCTAGGCTCCCAATCCAAGTGAGGACATTGCAGTTTTCCAAGCTTAAAAATCAGGATTCAAAGATATTAGTATCCCTTAGTGCTCAAACTGGGAGGATCTGTAAATTTAGAAACTGGATCAGACATCTTTGTATGGATGAAAAAGCACAGCAGACCAGGAAAGGGTTGGGTGAGTGAGGAATAAAGCAGAAAGCAGAAAAGTATAAAGAAAAGAGACAAGAGACGAGCTAGCCTGGGATTGTCAGATAGCAAAGATCAAGGTTCCTGTGTTAGTTTGAATCATCTGAGGAGATGCCCAGACAGGATGGGATGTCCAAGCTATGTGCTGGGAGAACACACAGGAAGGAACTATGGCGCCAGGAGAGCTTAGGAGAGCCGCGCTGTGGGTCTGACCCTGTAGAGCAGGCAGGAAAGAAGCGGTTGGTGGGGTCCGAGACTGCTGTGCAGTTCCAACAAGGCTGTGACAAAGCTGATGCTGAGCCAACGTTGGAGGAGTCCCTCACCTCCGAGAACGGGCCGCCTTAGTATCCCTGCCACAGCAGGCACTGGGCGGGAGCCGCCTTCGGGGAGGGAGGTCTCAGTGCCAATGTGGCCACGGATTTCAGAGCCCCGCGGCTGGGCTGGAGGCTGCAGCTTAATCGTGCTCACCACAGCCAGAGATCTGAGAAGTGCACTCTCAGCACCACTACGGTCTTAATGCTTCTCCAGTTCCTGCTTCAGTACCACATGAAGTTCTAGTTCATTTTCAGCCCCTTAATCATGAGTTTCTTGAGACATTTCTGTGTGTTTCAGGTTCTGTTCCCTATTTATGCTTCAGCTACTCTGAGTGGATTCCAAGTACTTGCAACAAGAAAAGGCAATAAAAAGAATCCTGACTGAAATAGTAACCCGGGGATTAGGACCTCAAGTTTTCTATGTAAGTGGGAGAGGAGAGGTAATAATAACTACAGCAATTATTCCTGACACCCTGTAGAGGGTTCTGCTGTTTACAATGCGTCTTTTGCAATCTCATGCGAGCCTTACAACAACCCTCAACACAGGCAGGGCTGGCGTCACCACCCACTTTACAGATGAGGAAGTGTAAGTTTCAGAAACAAGACAAACTACTCAACTGGGAGGGGAAATGGAAAATGAAGGGTGGAAGAAGAGGACCCATCAACATCAATCAGCCTCTGATTACCAAAATGGTAAACCCAAAGCAACGTGGCATTCCTTTTGGAGGACTGCCGACTCAGTGCCCCCACTAGTCACCAACGGGAAGGATTTCTACCATGTTCCCATTCAGCTTAGCTCCCTGGTCTGTGCAGACCCAAGAAGGATCTTAGAGAGTGATGTGCATTATTCTACGCTTAATTAGGTTGTAACTCCAATTGCAGCTGCTGTTTCAGGTATGGTTTCATAGCTGGAACAAATCAATGCCTCCCTTGGAACAAAGCATCCCGCTATTGATCTGATGAACATTTTTTTCCCCTTGATGAGTTTCAGTAAAGACATCACAAGCAGTTTGCCTTGAGCTAGCCGGGCCAGTAATCCCTGTTGCTTATCTAAATTTAGGACTGTATTCGCTCCCTGGTCATCTGTCATCATCTAGTCTGGTTCTCTTCTCACCCCACAGGGCACCACACAGGTCTAATACACTGATGATGTCATGCTGACTGGAAGGAACGGCTACTCTAGCCACTTGATGAAGCAAATGTCTGCCAGAGAGTGGGTTATAAATCACATACACATACACACGCTCAGTGAGCTTTCTGGGGGTCACTCGGCCTGGGGCATGTCGGGCTATCTCTCTCAAGGTGAAGGAGAAGTGCAGCTGCCCCCTCCTGGCACTCAGAGAGAGGCAGTAGGTTTAGACACTGGAGGTGAGATCTCATGTGGATGTTCTTGTCTGACCCATTTTCTGAATAAACTGAAAGGCTGTCAGTTTTGCACAGGGCCCAGAACAAAAGAAGGCAGTGCCTGCTCAGCAAGCTGCTCCGCACTTGGCCTGTGACCCAGCAGAAGTGACGAAGCTGCAAGTGGCAGTGGCGGAGAGGAGGCTGTGTGACCACAGGGCAGGCTGTTAGGACTCTGAGCCAAGCTGTGCCGTCTCTGGTGAATGATTGGAATTTGAGGTTGCCCCGACATGCATTCTGAATACAAGTCAGCTCTGTCCCATCGCAGAAGAGGGCCCAGCACTTTTTACACACTTTTCGGCTTTCCATGGCCCCCCAGAGCTTTACTGTGCCTCCTCCAGGGACCTGCCTTGTCCTAGCACCTGCTGGTGGCCACTTCTCTATGGAACGCCTTGGTATCAGCTACCTGACCCTCTCAGCCTACAGAGTGCCAGCTGTGCTGCAGGCACCAGCTCTCAGGCACAGTGTGACGCCACAGCACTTATGTCTGCTGGAAACCTTCCAATTACAGCTCCCTTCAGGAAACCTGCTTAGGTAATGCCCTGGACACCAGTGAAGGTCTTGGCCCACTGGTCCCTTGGCCCCTCTCTCGTTCCCTGACAAGAGTGTGAATGTCCTGGGCGGCTCTCCCTTCCCACTGGCCCAGGGAAGCCACACCTTCTTCTCTCTGGGATTTGTAAGAAATACACTGCTTCTCTTATTTCCTGCATTTTGTTGTGTCCCACTCGTATCCCACTTGACCAAGCTATCCTGGTAGGAATAAACCAGATGGAGGTGAGACAAGAGTTGGCAGGGCATCTGCCAGTATAACAAGCTTCTTGTGAGAGGCACATCTGGTCCCAAGTCAGACACGAAGGCATTCGGCTGTCCCTTAGGATAAGGGGCTGAGATCACACAGTGGGACAGGAAGCCGTGGTGACTCGGGCCAGGTTTGCTTTCTATAGTGATCCTTTCTCGAGCAACCTTGTGAGGGCCCATGAGAACTACACTGATCCTAAGAGCAGCAGCACCACAGCAGTAACCACTGTCTACGAGGCCCCACCTCTTCCAGGTTCCACCACCTCACACTGCCACGTTAGGGACCACGCTTCCAGCACATGAACCTCAAACCAACCACAGCGCAATCAAAGGAAATCCTCCAGGGGGCAGACCTGGACGTAGAGCATCTGGTTGTTACTTCTGCGTGGAAGGAGAGGTGGCTAGAGTTGCAGATCTACAGTAAAGGAACATGACTGGAAAAGGGTAAAATATTGAATGCTTTCCCCTTTTCTTATTTTTATAAACTTTTTTGAGTTTTAAAAATTTATTCTGGGGGTGGGGGAGAGAGAGTGTGAACACTCCCATCTACTATTTACTCTCTAAATACCCCAAACGGCCAGTACTGGGCAGGCTGACCGGCTGGAGCTAGGAGCCAGGAACTCATTCCAGGTTTCCCACATGGGTGGCAGGAATCCAGCTACTTGAATCATCACCTGCTGCCTTCCAGGACTGGTACTGGTAGGGAGCCAGACTCAAGAGCTAGAGCTGGGAATTGAACCTAGACACTCAGATATGGCTTGCAGGTGTCTTAACTGCTAAGCCAAATGCTGGCCCCAATGCTTAGTCTTTAAAACTGGGAACAAGGCCAGGGTGTCTGCTCACACTACTTCCATCTAACACTGTACTGGGTTTCTAGTCTGTGAAGTGAAGCAAGAAAAGGAAACAAGTACAGATTGGAAAGGATGAGGTAAAACGGTCTTTATTTGCATAAAACATGAGCATGTATGTAAAAAGTTATAAGGAATCTACAAAAATAAGCTACAAGAATGAATAAGTAAGTTTAGCAATTGCAGGATACGAAGTCAACATAAAGACAAGTGTATTTCTATACACTAGCAATGAAGAATTAAAATTTGGAATTTAAAATATATTTGTAATAGCATTAAAATTGGGATACGTAGGGATAAATTTAACAAAATATTTACAAGGCCTGTAAATATTAAACATTGAAAGCTGAAAAACATTGCTATGAGAAATGAAGAGATTTAAGTAATTGAATAGAGAACTATATGCTGTTCATGGATTCTGAAGATTCCATATTGTTAAGATATCAATTCTCCCCAAATATTCAGAGTCAATGTATCCCAATCAAAATCTCATGAGGCATTTTTGTAGAAATTGACAAGGTGATTCTAAAATTTATATGGAAAGACAGAGAACTCAGAATAACTAAAACAATTGGCATTGGTGCTATGGAGGTAAGCATAGCTGCCTTCCAGAATAACTAAAATAATTCTGCAAACTAGGAACCAAATTGGAAGACCTACACTTACTGATTTCAACACTTAATTTACAGCTACATTAATCGAGACTGTGTGGTACTGGCATAAGGACAGACATATTGATCAATGAAATAGACTAGAGTATTGAAATAGGCCCACACAGGTTTGGGCAACTGAGTTTTAACAATGGTACCAAGTTATTTAATGGGAGGAAAGGATAATTTTTCAACAAGTGCTAGAATACCTTGATATCTAAGGGGTAAGGGGAATCCCAATCCTTACCTGACAAGGTACACAAAAATTAACTCACAGTGCACCATTGACATAAGCATGACAGTGAAAACCATAAAACTTCTAGAGGAAATCTTTGTGACATTTGGACAAGCAAAGATTTCTTAGGACATAAACCACTAAAAACTTGATACATTGGACTTTATCAAAATCAAATACTTATGCTTTATAATTAGGAGAATGAAAAAGCAAGCCCAGAATCAGAGAAAATATTTGCCAGATATTTACCTAACAAAAGGTGTGGACCCAGAATACAAAATTTAAATTACAAAATTTTGTTAAATTTTAAAATGGGCAAAATATTTCAAAACACAAGTCACAAAAGACATACAAATGTTCAAATGTTCAGTAAGCACATGAAGAGATGCTAACATGATGTGTTAACAAGGAAGTGCAAATTAAAACCACAAAGAGCTACCACTATACACTTTGAGAATGGCTACACTGAGGACTGGCAATACCAAGTACAGGCATACCTCAGGCATGGTGTGGGCTGGGTTCCAGACCACTGCAATAAAGTGAATATGGCAATAATGCAAGCTTCCCAGTGCATATAAACGTGATGTTTACACTATACCACTTCCTGGTCTGTTAAGTGTACAATATAGTATTATGTCTAAAACACAATGTATATACCTTAACTGAAAAACACTTTATTGCTAAATCATGCTGAAGATCATCTGGGCTGAGGGAAAAATGGTGCCCCTAGACAAGCTTGAGACAAAGTTGCCCCAAACCTTCCATCGGTTATATCTGCAAAGCACACTAAAACGAGGTGTGCCTGTACTGGCAAGAATCTAAAATAACCAGAGTTCTCATACACGGCTGCTGCTGCTGCTGGGAATACAAAATGGTTCAACTACTTTGGACAACAGCAATGTCGTAAAAGGTTCAACAAACACTTACACAATCTAGCAATTCCTCTTCTAGGTGTTTACTCCAAAGACGCCTATGGGAATATTTACAGCAGCCCAAACTGGAAACAACAGGAATATACATTCAAGGGATGCACAAATGTCAGTGTATCCATTCAACAGAATACTAAGCAATAAAAAGGAACAAATTTCTGAAACACACAATAACATGGAAGAATTGCAAAAGCATTATTTCAAGAGAAAGGAGCCAGATATAACATACATCCTACATGATTTCATTCACATGGAATTCAAAGCAAAGGTAAAACTACAGTGAGAGGCCAATCAATGGTGCTTGGGAAAGGCACTGGCTACGCAGGGGCCCAGGGACCTGTTCGGAGTGATGGCAACAGAATGCCTCACAGCATGCCTGTGTCGGTGAACCTCTGCCCAGTGTGCTGCCTTGACTAACTGTCCGCTCTGCAGCACGGGCAGGGGGACCCAAGGGGAGTCCAGCTGACTTCCTGAGCTGAGGACCAGGAGCTGGAAAGTCATGGGAAGCTGTGAGAAGCTGTTGCCTCTGCGGGTCTGTAGCCAGGTGCTGAGGCTGGGACCCTTGTTGTCATTAGGGCCATGGACAGGAAGAAGCCCTGGAAGCAGAGCAAAAGACAGTGAGAACAAGCTAGGACCCACCAGTTACCTCTGTGTTTGCCTATCCCATCTGACCACAAAGTTTCAAAGTAATGCTTCCCTCTGCCTCCCAAATCTCATACAAGACTTGTATTATATGGAAGGGAATTCTGGGTAATATGCAGCTTGACCAAGTTGACAACAGAACAATGTGCCACACGCACACAGAATTTAAGGAATCATCTTTCATTACCAATATTTATTTAGGGGAGTGAGTTTTCTTGGTGCTACATCAATAAAAATGAAAAATTAGAAAATATCTAGTGATTTACACTTTATTTTTTAGCCTAGATACAAGTAATATTCAACGAATATTATTTAAAAGAAATATCAGTCCTGTCTATCTCATTATATCTAATGAATTATATTATTATAATTTTATATATAATTATATAATTAACATATTATTTTATATTAATTTAAAAGAACTATCAGTCCTGTCTATCTCATTATATCTAATGAATTATATTATTATAATTTTTATATATAATTATATAATTAATATATTTATATATTAATTTAAAAGAACTATCAGTACTGTCTATCTCATTATGTCTAATGAATTATTATATTATTACTATGTCCATTATATCTAAGAAATTTTTATCCTTACTATTTATTGACATTTGATACATGCATGTTACTGTTCTAATGTACACTAATAATGGAAAGGAAAACACAGTCCAGAAAAAATACTGAAAGAAAATAATGGGCCAGCGCCGTGGCTCACTTGGCTAATCCTCCGCCTGCGGCGCCAGTACCCCGGGTTCTAGTCCCAGTTGGGGCGCCGGTTCTGTCCCAGTTGCTCCTCTTCCAGTCCAGCTCTCTGCTGTGGCACGGGAAGGCATAGAGGATGGCCCAAGTGCTTGGGCCCTGCACCCACATGGGAGACCAGGAGGAAGTGCCTGGCTCCTGGCTTTGGATTGGCGCAGCACACCGGCTGTAGCAGCCATTTGTGGGGTGAACCAATGGAAGGAAGACCTTTCTGTCTCTTTCTCTCTCTTACTGTCTAAATCTGCCTGTCAAAAACAAACAAACAAACAAAAAAACTAATGAACACAGAAATTTTAAAAAGTTTTAAATTTCTATTTTGTGTATATCAGTGTATAACAGAAGAGGAAAAGAGCTTATACTGTAAACATATTTCATTAGTTTAAAGTTTTGTGGGGATATAGACAAGTAAGGGAAAAATATAAAATTTCCTACTTTTTTATGATTTCTTTTGGTGACCAGCACTGTGACACAGGTTAAGCCTCTGCCTGCAGTGCTGGCATCCCACATGGGCACCAGTTTGAGTTTCAGCTGCTCCACTTCCCATCCAGCTCCCTGCCAATGTGCCTGGGAAAGCAGTAGGGCAAGTACTAGGGCCCCTGCACCCACATGGGAGACCAGGAAGAAGCTCCTAGCTCCTGGTTTTGGCCTGGTCCAGCCCCTGTCATTACAGCCATTTAGGGGAGTGAACCAGTGGATGAAAGCTCTCTCTCTCAGTCTCTCTGCCTTTCAAGTAAATAAAGCTTTAAAAAAAAAAAGAGTAAACAGAATTTTCAGCATTGTTCTAGGGATACACTGGTGAACTAAGTTTGTGATAATGGATTTGAAAGGATGTCATGCTAGAAGGCACTGTTAGGACCCGAAAAAATGAAGTGATAGAATGGCGCGAGAACCGAGGTTTTAAATTGAAGGCGATCTCACAGGAATGCGCAGAAACAGAATACTATTCTTTCAAAAACAAAATCTTAGCTGTGAAAGGAAGGAGGAAGAATCAGTGCTTCCCCACATAGCCTTCTTTTGACAGACAAATGAGAGGGGCTCAGCGGGAGTTCCCGGGACTTTGTTTTGAAAAACAAAGTAAAGCGCCACTAGACAACTAGACTGCCCACTTTTCTCTCTCCCTCTTTTTAAGATTTATTTATTTATTTGAAAATCAGAGTTAGAGTTAGAGTTAGAGAGAGAGAAAGAGAGAGAGAGGTCTTCCATCCAATGGTTCACTCCCCAATTGGCCACAATGGCTGGAGTTGCACCGATCTGAAGCCAGGAGCTTCTTCCAGGTCTCCTATGGGGGCACAGGGGCCCAAGGACTTGGGCCATCATCCTCCACTGCTATCCCATGCCATAGCAGAGAGCTGGATTGGAAGTGGAGTAGCCAGGTCTCGAACAGGCGCCCATATGGGATGCCGGTGCTTCTGGCCAGGGCATTAACCCACTGCGCCACAGCGCCGCCCCCCCCCCCATTTTATTTTTTTTTTTAAGATTTTTATTTATTTATTTGAGAGGTAGAGTTACAGATAGTGAGGAAACAGAGAGAGAGGTCTTCCATCTGCTGGTTCACTCCCCACATGGCTGCAATGGCCAGAGCTGGGCTGATCCGAAGCCAGGAACCGGAAGCTTCTTCCAGGTCTCCCACGTGGATGCAGGGGTTCAAGGATTTGGGGCATCCTCTGCTGCTTTCCCAGGCCACAGCAGAGAGCCACATCAGATGTGGTGCAACTGGGACTAGAACCAGCGCCCATATGGGATACCAGCACTACAGGCAAAGGATTAACCCATGAGCCAGAGGGCCTGGCCCCCGCACACTTTTCTCTTCTTAATTCCCTTTTCACATGGAACCCAGGCTGAGTTCTGTAGGCAGGTTCTGATTTCCAAGTTGCCACCACAGTATTTTCTCTCCGCCTCGACTGGACACCTTGCCTCAGCAGGCCTCAGTCGGCCCTGGAACTCCAGCGACTGCCCAAGCCGCTGTGTAGGAGGCTTTGTCAGAGAAGACAACTTTGTCTTCCCAGAGAACAAACCCTCCACTTTGCTCTATGAGGCGGATAGCAACCCCAAACCATGGGTGGGCACGGGCTTGCGCAAGCCTCAATAGCTCTTTTAAATCCAGGGAAGAGGACGGGCAGGGAAGGTACCTCCCCACCAGGCACCACCTCACCAACTTAAAAGAAAGCCTGGCTCAACAAAGCTGTCAGATACTACTGTCACATTTCTCCTCACCTGCTAGACACCAAAACCAACCTCTAATATCCAGGGCAAGAAAGACCTAAATTTCAGCACTCAGCAAAACAACATTTTTTTCTCTCTTTGGAGAAATATCTACTTTTATTAAGAACATCTACACTTGCACAAACCTATAGGTACCATAAAATCCCCAAATACCTTGAAACAAGCACAGTCCCTTTCATACCAAGAAACCCTTTTTTACCGTATTTTTTTGTTTGTTTGTCAATATAATACTTAAATTACAACTGTTAAAAAAAAAAAAAAACACAGGGAAACAATGTATTGCCAGGTTTTCGTTTTGGAAACCCAGCAATTGTGTTTCAACGTGGCTGGATACAGAAGAGTAACTCAACACCCTTGGAAACCACTGGGCCAGTCTGCGCATGTGTGATTCCAGGCAAGTTTTAAGAAACTTGTTTACAGTCCTACGCTGTCACCTTGGGTCAGCAGGCGAGGGGCAGCCACGATCCTCCTCCTGCCTGCCACAGGGCTCTTCCGCATTTTCAAACTGCGCCAGGCCACCTGCCCACGTGGCCGGCTGGCTGTGCCGTGTCCTGCGCCCTCAGGATGTGTCCGGTGCCCTCTCTGGCCGCGGGGTTCCAAGCGCCAGAGATGAGTGCTCAGAACCCCGATCCTCATCCTGCGGAACCACTTCGGCGCCGGGGATATTCCGGGCGGGGAGGCAGAGCCAGGTCTGGATGCCAATCCCCGCCAGGCCTGAGTGGGGTCCTCGGAGACGTCACCACCGCCCCCACCCCAGCCCGGGATGCTCCCAGCGCCCTGCAAGCGCCACCCCTACCTGGCCTCTCACTAGAAATTGGGGAGACGGACCCCGCCCCTCAGAACTGAACACCCAGCAAGATTCTAACAGGCACCTGGTCGCGCCCCTCCGAGGGGCGGGGTCGGGGCGGTCCGAAATGGCGGCGGCGGCGGCGGCAGGGTCCCGAGGGTCACTCTCCCAGGCGCCCTTGACTGGCTCTCGCCGCGGCGCCACCTACCTTGCTGGTGGGCGGCCTCAGCGCGCGGCGCGAAGGGGTGGGAGCGCGAGGTGACGAGCACTTGGAAGCGCCAATAAGCACTCGGAAGCACAGGCCGCGTCCAATCAGTGCCCGAGCAGCGGAGACCAAGAGTAGGTTGCGAGCTAGCGGCGCGTGTGGCGGACACGGAACGCCGAGGACCTTGCCTACTGCCCGGCTAGGGCCTCCCGCCTCGCCGCTTCCCGCGCGTCCTGCACCACGGCCCCAGATGTCCCCTGGGCGACGCTGAGGAGCCAGAGGGCTCCTCATGCAGCAGTCGCAGGGCCATCACCTGCAGCGGCTGCCACGGGCCACTCTGTCTCCCGAGGGGACTCTTCCTCCAGCGGTGGCTGCAGAGAGATGAGAGGCGGCTCCTGGCCGCGGGACCGTGAGACGCGCCCGGGGCCCGCTAGCTAGGGGGACTCGGCGGACGGCTGCCTGTGCACGCCCGTGCTCCTGGCTCGCGGCGGACAGCGGGGCCGGCGACATGTTCCCGCGGAGGCCGCCGGCCTCCCTGGCGGCCTGGCTGGCGGGCGCGCGGGGCGGGGGCCTGCTGGGCCTGCTGGCCAATCAGTGCCGCTTCGTGACGGGCTTGCGCGTGCGGCGCGCGCAGCAGATCGCGCAGCTCTACGGCCGCCTCTACTCGGACAGCTCGCGCTGCGTCCTCCTCGGACGCCTGTGGCGCCGGCTGCGCGGCCGCCCCGGCCATGCCTCTGCCTTGATGGCGGCGCTCGCCGGTGTCTTCGTGTGGGACGAGGAGAGGATCCAGGAGGAGGAGTTGCAGAGGTGGGCCCGCCGGCGTGGTCGCTGGTGCCTGGGCGGTGGGGTTGGGGGTCGGCTGGGGCAGGGAGTTGGAACTTGTGAACCCTGGAGGCTGCCCGGTGGTCAGCGCCGCCCGATGCCCTGTGGTCCTTTAAGTGGCGTGCTGTAGGTTAAACCTGACTTAGCAAACCGGGTTGTTTATTGTTTTGTCGGGGTAGAAATACGAACTGGAAGCGTGGGTGAGGGTAGGAGGGAGACCACAGTGGGGAGCGTGACACTTCCACGGAACGAGATTGCAATTCGCTATGGGAGACAGCGAGGCCATTGTCCACATGATCTTTAACACGCCTGGAAAGGCGCGGATCCACAACAGATTTTCATCCCGATCTGCGGTGTAGGTCTGCAGTTTTGGAATGACTGCACTCCAGATGGGAGGCAGGCCTTGTGAGAGACGCCCGCAGAGCGCTCTGTCACTCTGCCGGTGTGACAGAATTAAGAGGCTGCGAAGGATTTTGCCCTGCTTGCACAGATCAGTAGCCCAGACCTTTTAAACTGTTAAGAATTAGGTCAGGTTTGTGCTGTTGTACCTGGAACTTTGGGGGACACTGTGTTGTTAAGATTCTGAACTTGCTCTTGAAAAGCCCAGTATCGTTGATTGCATTTGGTAGCTAATCTCGTGGGGAATTTTTTTTTTCTTTAGCCCCTGTTTTAAAATGCATTTTCTTTTTAACAGGCATCCTTAAATGGTGACTCCCTTCCACACAAACACTCCACTCTAATCTACAACTGTGATTTTAGGAATGAGGGACAGCCTCCTCCCCCAGATAGATCTCAAATGAGTGGGTCTGTTCTAGGTATTTCTTTAACAGGGAGACAACCTGTTAGTCCACATTTTTTGTTAGGTTAAAAATGGAAATACCTCAATAAAATTTATACCGTGGCCATGTGGGAAGTGCAGCAGCCAGATGCCAGCTGTACAACCTTATGAATTGTGGGTAAATACAAGTCTATCCTGAGAACTGGGACTACCTCACCTGGCAAGAAAGGCGACTTGTAGAGGCAGTTTAAAATCATAACCACAAGCACCCTCACTCATTAAAAAGGCAAGATATTAAAGATGATAGTTACTCTGCCTAGTTTTTGTTAGCATTCTTTGCTACTTGCCCATTTGTTCTAATCAAATATTCCCAGATGTGAGAAATAAAATAATGGAAAGCTTTTTTTTTTTTTTTTTTTAAAGATTTATTTGTCTGAAAGCTAGAGTGACAGAGAAAGAGGTTTTTCCATCTGCTGGTTCATTCCTCAAATGACTGCAATGGCTGGGGCTGGCCCAGACCGAAGCCAGGAGCCAGAAGCTCTCATCCAGGTCTCCAGTATGGGTGGCAAGGGCCCAAGTACTTGGACCATCTTTCTCTGCCTTCCCAAGCACATTAGCAGGGAGCTGAATTGGAAGCAGAGCAGCCCATACTTGAACCAGTGCTGTGATGTGGGATGCCAGCATCGCTGTAAGCGGTGGGCTTACACAAAGCTGACCCTGGAAAGAAAACTTTTTTTTTTTTTAACATTTATTTATTTATTTGGGGGCTGGTGCTGTGGCATAGCGGGTAAAGCCGCCACGTGTGGTGCTGGCATCCCATATGGGCACCAGTTCAAGTCCCGGCTGCTCCACTTCCAATCTAGCTCTCTGCTATGGCCTGGGAAAGCAGTGGAAGATGGCCTGAGTCCTTGGGCCCCTGCATGCACATGGGAGACCTGGAAGACTCTCCAGGCTCCTGGCTTCAGATCAACCCAGCTCTGGCTGTTGCAGCCATTTGGGGAGTGAACCAGAGGATGGAAGACCTCTCTCTCTCTGTGCCTCTGCCTCTCTGTGCCTCTGCCTTTCAGATAAACAAATGAATCCTAATTTAAAAAAAGATTTATTTATTTGAAAGAGTTACAGAGAGAGGAGAGACATCTTCCACCCACTGGTTCATTCCCCAAATAGCTGCAAGGGCCAGGGCTGGGCCAAACTGAAGCTGGGAGTTTCATCCATGTCTCTCACGTGGGTGGCAGGGGCCCAGACGCTTGGGCCATCTTCTGCTGCTTTTTCCAGGACATTAGCAGGGAGTTGGATCAGAGTGGAGCAGCTGAGACATGAACTGGCGCCTGTATGGGATGTTGGTGTCGCAGGCAGAGGCTTAACCTGCCAAGCCACACGCTGGCCCCAGTACTCTTGGTTCTAAACCAATTAAAGAACCATTGTTCTGGGTTAAGCAGTTTTGGAATTTCCAGAGTTTAGATGAAGGTCAGTGAGAACACTGACAGCTGCCTCTTGACCTTCCTCAGGTTGTTAGAGTCAAGGCCTTCATTTGACACTGCTGTCCAGTTCATATACTTAAAATTTGATCAAATTGTCCATCTGGAAGGGTCTTAACACATCTGTCACCTTGATAGGCAAGTCAGCCCTGAGGGATCTTCAAAAAGTTCATGGAAAATGTGTTTACAAAAAACTGTATGGATTTGAGAACTTTTTTGCACTGAAATAAGCTCATTTTCTAAATTCCATTTTCCATGAACATTTCAAAGCCTCCTTATAGATCTTGGTTGTACTATAGTTCCTTAGGACTTTGATAGCTTGTCATGTTTACATTTTATTGGGTAAAACATTCTGAGCACAGATTAAGTTTTTGCTTGGTGTTTAAGTATTCTGTTTGCTTAAACACTACTGAGGTGGACACTTTAGAACATTACTAAATTTTATTTTATGAGATGATTTGGAGTAGCTTTGAGAATGGAGCACAGTTAGATGTATGTCTCAGGTCAAATGCATTTCTGTCATTCTTGATGGAAGAAGAACATGATTGTCACATGGCCCCTAAATCACAGCCTTTGGCTTATCTCTGCTGTTTCTGTACCCACTTGTCCTGGTGTCCTGGTTAGACAAGGGATGGAGTGTTCAGGGTGTCTTCTTGAATGTATGCCTTAAAGTGGCTTGAGGTTTTCTTATGTAAATAACACTCCAATAGAGTTTCCATTCAGAATGAAAAACAGTAACCTGGCTTTTTTGTAAGAACATCTCTACCAAATAGGATCTTACAGATCATGCAACAGCAAGAAAATCCAAGAGAAGTAGTTATCTGTACAAAGTGATTTTGACCTGCTGCTGAGGCCAGATGTAGAAACCAGATCTGTTAATACTTGCTCTAGTATTCGTACCAGTTGGCTTCAATTAAACAGTCGAACAAAATAGCTTCAATACTATTTTTGGTGCTTGTTGGCATTCTGTGAGCCCAAGGCAAATCTTATGGAAAAATACAGCCGTACAATTTGATTGCTTTGGAACAGTTAAAAAAAAAATTATAGGAACAAAAAGAGGAAGGATGTTAAGAAATAAAGGCTGGGAGAAAATGTTCCATTAACCTCTTCTTTTTTTTTTAAAGTTACAGTTCATTGCTCTAGAAATTGGAGTATGTGCCAATAAAGTTTCATAAGGAAAGCTGGCTTTTTTCCCATTTCTGTCTTCCAGGGTATTATTGCCGCGAACTAGTTGGTGTTTCTAGGTGTGTTCTCTCTCAGTAGCACATGAGAATCCCTGACTGTGACATCAGTTTGAAATTTGGGGGAGGGATGCTGGGAAGTGAGGCATTTGTCTTACTGAAATTCCTGCTTGTGGGAATGGCTTTATTTGAGTCATTTTGGAGCCTTGTAGCAAGCCCTGTGCTGAGGGGCAGGACCCCTAGATGTGCTGAACACTATCCTTTGTTGGGTGCCTCCAGTTTCCATAGCTTTCACTCCAACCTGTCTCAAATATTGTAATGATTTTCCTTTCAAAGAGAGGGAAGCACTGACTGTCTTTGCTTCATCCTTTTGCTAATCTGCTCATTTCATTACTATTTTGGGAATAATCTCTTTTGTCCTTCATTCCTCTCCTTGTTAGCTAAGTCTCTTAGTTGTGAAGGTTTAGTCACCCATGCCACCCAAACAAGATTTGGCACAGCAGGCTAAAGGGTGTATAGTGAGAGGCTCTGTTTGTCTCCACATAGATGATAATGAGTCACCATGTTCCTGTATACTAAGCATGTCTATCATGTTAGCGTTTAGAAGTTGAGACCTTTCAAGGACGCTTAAACTTTGGGACAGAATAGCAGTATTAATCATTTACATTTTTGTGATGCAGTCTTGCTCCAGCATTTGTACTGTGCTGTTCAAGGAGTGAATGTCATGCCTTCACAAATGATTATCCATCCCTCTTCAGGGACTTAGCCTCATAATTTTAAATCAAAGCCACCTAGTGATCTTTAATTATATAGGAGAGCCTGATATAGGAGTAGGTCGGAAGCTCTGTGTCACCTTGGGTCTTAGAAGTTTGTCAATGATAGTCATTAATTTTCTTAAAACCTTACTGACTATGTAATTTCTTGTATGAGCCGTGATATTTTAAAAAATATTTATTTATTTATTTGAAAGAGTTACACGGAGAGAGAAGGAGAGGCAGAGAGAGAGAGGTCTTCCATCTGCTGGTTCACTCCCCAATTGGCTGCAATGGCCAGAGCTGGACCGATCCGAAGCCAGGAGCCAGGAGCTTCTTCCGGGTCTCCCACGTGGGGGCAGAGGCCCAAGGACTTGGGCCATCTTCCACTGCTTTCCCAGCTATAGCAGGGAGCTGGATCGGAAGTGGAGCAGCCGGGACTCAAACTGGCGCCCATATGGGATGCTGGCACTGCAGGCGGCGGCTTTACCCGCTACGCCACACCACCGGCCCTACCCTGATATTTTAATAAGATATTCCACCAGTGGAAATATTTTTGCCCATCTTTATAATGTGATAAGAATGACATTGAGGAGTGCTGCTTACTTACTATGCAAGGATGCTCTGCTCACCCTAAAAAATGCCATAATTGATGCCACGTGATGACTGAATTGTTCTCTGGACACATCTAGCTGTCGTTTTGCTTTTGCTTTCTTTTCTTCAAGATTTTATTGTGTACTCAAAGGTTCCATCACTATTTCTGTACTTAACCAGTTTGCAATGCCAACTGTGAATT